TTTTTTTTAATATTTCTATTTATTTTTGAGAGCAAGAGAGTGAGCAAGCACGAGTTAGGGAGGGGCAGAGAGAGAGAAAGGGTGACACAGAATCTGAAGTAGGCTCCAGGGTCTGAGCTGTCAGTCAGCACAGAGCCCGACGCAGGGCTCGAACCCATGAACCATGAGATCATGACCTAAGCTGAAGTTGGACACCTGTCAGCCTGAGCCAACCCAACGGCCCTGAGGCTACACTTTTATAGTAAGAAGACTTAAGAAGGTTATATGTCATTGAAGAAAAGTAAATAGATGTTGGTGAGACCTGACCCACTTCATTGACTTGCCATAAATAATGTCTTTTTTTTAATGTTTATTTATTTTGAGAGAGAGAGCTAGAGCGAGCGTGAAGGGGGGAGGGACAGAGAGAGGGGGAAAGAGAGAGAATCCCAAGCAGGTTTTGTGCTGTTAGCGCAGAACCCAGTTTGGAGCTCGATCCCATGGACCATGGGATCATGATCTGAGCCGAAATCAAGAGTCAGGCACTTAACCAACAGAGCCACCCAGGCGCCCCAAATAGCATCTCTTAAATACCTGAGTTATTGGAAACACTGAGGGTGAGCTAATGAAGTTGTTCCTTTTGTTTTTTGTTTGTTTTTTTAACTTTTCACCCTGGCTGGGTGAATATGTGTCAGTAGTGTTCTCAGTCTAAACAGAGAATATTGTGCGTGGGAAGAAGAGTAGAGTAAGACTGAGAAGGTCCCTAGAGTTCAGCAGATGTCAGCCATCTTGGTCCCTTCCTGTGTGCACCTTTCACCTCTTCCTCCCTGGCCTTGATAGGAGAACCTGCTCGTGATTTCTGATCACATGCCAGCTCCAAGTATCTTAACACGTTTCTGCATCCAGCTGATGTTGGCATTGGTGTGCAGTAGATTTGAACCCTTACCTTATTCTGAGCCCTGGTGCAGTAGTTTTCAACCTGGGCCCTGTGCTTTTCTTGACTCTGCTTTTGAGATATGTGGTGGCCAAGAGTGTGGGCTCTGATTGTAAGTTCTGGTCACCCCACTTAATACCTGTGTGACTTTTGATATACCTCACCTCTCTAGGCTCCATGCCCTCAGCTGTAGGAGAGAGATAGTAATAGGACCTGCCTCTCGGGGTCCCCAAGGAATAAAGGAGAGGCTCTGGGTGCACCCTGCATATCAAAAGCACACAGTGAATAGTTGTTGTTCCTTGTCCATTTAGTCCCATCATGTTAAGCGCATGCTCTAGCTCACCTTCTTCCCATGGGACCCAGGCATCGTAGATTCAAAGAACATCTGAATTTGAGGCTGCCTCACTGCTGGTGAGCCACAGAGTTTTCCATCTTTCTGGACTCAGCTGCCAGGCTGTGTTTGTGTATGCCACTGGTCTTATAAGCAGTGAGGACCAGCGTTCTCACTGCACGGCCTGGGAAGGTGGTGGAGAGACATCATAGATGCCCGGGGACCCGGCGTGACTCTGGAGCAGTCAGGAGAGAACGTCAGGCTCCCTGTGTCCACGGGTCTCCACTAACCCCGAGGAGTTCATGCTTTCCACGTCATGATTGTTAATCCTTCCCCTCAACACCTTCCCCCTTTACCCCAAGTTTAGTTTCTGATTCATGTTTTCTCCTTTTCTCCTCTCTGCTTTCTCTCCTATTGTGGACAATGGACTTGTGTCCCATCCTGCTTTCTCTTGTAATAGAGGCCCATTTCCATTATTATAAACCCTACTTTTTCAAAATAAAAGTTCATTCTAGCTCTTCGTACCATCTCTGCCACACTCCTGTCCCAGACTGAGGTTTTCTGCATCCTTGTTACAAGGCCTTAAGAATCGTTTGCCAGGTCCGTCATCGAAGCTCTGTAGATAGTGACAGCGGACCCCCTTCGCCTCAGGGGCAGCGTGGCACCCTGAAATTCTCACTATGTCTTCATCCTCGAGGGTGCCGCTCTGACATGGACACGTCTCATGCTGCCTTCGGGACATTTTCCCACATTGCTGTCCATAGCGCCTGTGTTATTTCTGGATGAGGGTCTTCTCCAACCTTCTAGATCAGAATTTATGTCTTTTTATATCTTCACTTCAAAGCTTTGGACTTGCACTCCCCTCTTGCTGTTTTCCATGAACACCCCCATCTCCCTGCTTACAGTTACCTCAGTCCTGGGGGGTAATTTGTCAACAGGAGGTATGACACATGCACATCGGAGAGCGCTTTAAAGATGGCAGGCCCAAGAGTGGCCCCCCGCGGACCCTGGTCAGCAGCTGAGTAAACTACTTTTAGCTCTACCTACTGTTTTAAGCTTGGAAAAGATGACAATAGAACTTCCTTCTAACTCTAAGCCATGTAAACAGGAAAAATTGTTTCCCCTCAGAAATCTAAAATGTTTAACTTAGACATTTTCACTGGCCTCACAGATATTTGATGGGATAGAAATGCCTTTTATTCATTTGCCACAGGCGGTCTTTCATATTGATCTCAGAAGGCAGCATGTTAGTATGGAAAACTCCGAATCTGTTTGCTTTCTTCTTGCTTGCTAGGCTTTTTTAAAAAAATTTTTTTCTAACAATTATTTATTTTTGAGAGACAGAGCACGAGCAGAGAGATAGGGAGACACACACAGAATCCGAAGCAGGTGCCAGGCTCTTAGCTGTCAGCACAGAGCCTGATGCAGGGCTCAAACACATGAACTGCAAGGTCATGACCTGAGCTAAAGTCTGATGCCTAACCTCCTGAACCACCCAGGCGCCCCTTGCTAGCCAGTTCTTTTACTTACTAGCGTTTGATCTTAGCTGTATGTCTGAAACCTCACATCTGAGTCTCCGTTTCCCCAGCTATATAATGATATGCTGCTAGCTTTCAGGATTGTTGTTAAGGAAAGCAAAGTGGATGAAAGCCTTTTATAACCAATTTTGGTGTACGACATTAGTATTGTGATACTAATCTTAAATTCAGTATTTAATTCTAGTCCTTTTTCTATCCTGTAAAATATGGCACCAGGAGATTTGAATCTTTCCATGGCCAAAGTGGTTCCCCTTCCCTGTCATGGGAATTCCTGGCCATTTCGTGCCAGTGATCCTGGGATGTCAACTCAGATTCAGCATGTCCCTGAAACACATGAAGGGGACTGTCCCTTAACACTGCTCTATCACGACGTGTGCAGGAGAAGGAAGAAACCCTTACTCCACCTTCCCACAATTCCTAGGGTTATGTTAGTTGAAAACTGTAAGCAAAAATTATGTCCATATGTATAGATAGACAGAGATACATATATAAAACTACTCCCTGGGTATGGATTCTGAGTTTGCCTACAAGAACCCCAGCCATGGCTCACAGCTGTGCTGGGATGAACTTTAAAATCACTCAACATACACCCGTGGCTGTACTGTCCACACGAGGAAAGACCCCACACTCAGCAAGGACCACTCACAGGCCTTAATTAAAAGCAAGGGACTAATGATTACTCATAGATACGATGTGGCTTCTTGTTTCTCATTATTTCACGGGAACTAACATGTGAAGATTATCATGCCCTAATTTTACAAAAAAAAA